TGGGGATGCAGTGGTCCTTGGGCCCTTGACACTGCACAGCAAGGTTTATTTGGGGAACAAATCACCCAGTACAATCTAGAGCAGCCCCTTCTCCTTCCTACTAAGACACACAAGATAACATTTCTATTCTTCTGGCTTCTGAATTGTTTACGAATTTAAGCTCTAGAATTTGTATTAACTACCAGCTCTAAAGGTTATTTCTACCCATCCCATACTATAAGAGACCAAAATACACCTCTCTGGATAAAAAATTGCACTTCCCACAGCTAAGCAATAGCAACTCTCCTGGTGTCCTGACTGAAAATCAAACTGGCAAGTAGAGGTGGAAAGGCTCTGTGTCCTCTTATCCATTCCTCAATCCTCCCCTACCAAAGTTCACTTCCAAACACAATCCCCAAAGCAAGATCGCAGCACCACAGTGAGGAGGGATTGAAGCTCTCCCAGAGTATTCCTACAGAAACATGAAAGTACACTATTTCAGAGGCATACTGGAATCCAGTTTAACCACAATACCTGCCAGCATGGCTATCAATGCATTAATCAGCTACATGAAAATTAAACTTGAATCCTACAGGACAGCCAAGTTCTGCCAAAATACATCCATCAGCTCCTTCATCTTAAATCAAAAACTTGCTACTGGAGGTGAGCTCCTGCAAAACCCCCCATGCAAGTATTGGTGATGTGTATGTGCAGATAGACAGATGCCCATTTTTCAGAAGTTATTTACTCTTAGTACGGGTAAAGAGGCAAAGAATTAAACTTTGATTCCCTGTCAAAACCATCCTAAGGTCCCAAAAAAAAAAGTTAACCTATCTGTATAAAAACACAGCAAGAATATTTTTTCAGGGTCTCTTCAAAGCCACATTCAAACAGCTGTCCCAGCACCCTGCTGCCCACACTCTGATTTTGAAAGACACCAAAAACGCCCCGAACGTTTTGTATGGCAGCACAGGCTGATCTACTTCAGCACATAAAACATGTTGCTGCTCCTCTCACTCTGTAAGAAGTAGAGCAGCAAACAAACTAATAGCTGGATTGCTGCCATGCCAATAGTTCAAGTGCATGCAACTCTAAACCACTTCCCAGGCTTTTTTTTGTTTTTACAAAAAAACCGGACAGTATCACATTTATTGTGCTGCAATAGGAGAATCTGGTTCTATTTAAGCAGTGTATTATTTCACCTGGACTAACTAAAATATTCAGTTACACAACAGCTAATCATGAACAGAAGATAAGCTCAGAGATAAAAATAGGGAGAAAGACAGAGAGACCTTGTAACAGTTAATCAGCATGATTTATTTGTCAGCCTGCCATACGCAGCACCACCTGAAAAAGAAAGCCTTGAAGTTCCCTCCAATAAATCTTTTTAAGCAATAAAACCTCTTGGGTTGACTTTGCTTTAGTTTTATTTCTAAGTCATTCATCAAACTCCTGCTAATCCCCAAGTACACAGAGGAATCAGAGTCTAAATGGGGAAGAGGTACAACATACCCTGAGTGTCACCCAGCCCAGATTAGCCTGGCAACGACCCCTGACAGCACGTCAGTCTTGTCTGACTTCCATCAAGAAATGTGCCCGAGCAGATTCCTGCAGGACAGCTTCACCCCAGGGCTTCCGAGTCTGGCCCTCTGTCCCCAGCGCCCTGGCTGCTGCCCAGGTACTTAACTCACTGACCAGGAGCTGGATCACTGGGATTTCAAATCCTCCTTGGGATCACCGTGCTACGCAGGAAACCACAACAGGGACAGCAGCAGCTGGCACGGGAGAGGAGGACAGGGACAGGCACAGGGCAGTGAAGGCAGGGAGCTGCTAACTCCCAGATAAGGCTGGCACTGGTGGTTTTGGAGGAAGATGGGGACCATTTGTAATCAATTGCTGCTTTGGTATAGAGTGTTCATGAAAATAAAACTGATTTTGTCTTCTCCTTTGTCTTTGCCATAAGGCCTCAGACACTTCCCATCGGCCCTTGCAAGATGAAAGCAAAAAAAACCATCACTTTGGGCAATGTGGGAGACTTCAGCATTTATTCCTGAACAATGGTGTCTATTCAAGTTTCAGACTCGCTCTGGCTGTTAATTAGGAAAGTAAACAAGAAAAAATTATAATTTAAGCCTTCACTAGATATTTGGCTTCCTAATCTCCTCTAGAGAATACTGTCAAACTCCTCTCCTGTCCAAAGCAGGGATTTGCACTTCCACACCAAGACAGCTCCCCAAACCTTAACTGGAAGTGGCATTAAGTTCAAGGCAGGCGTAGGCAGAGCAAGATTCAGCAGCAGCAAAATTTCATTAAGCCATTTTTTCATGTGTTAACTTCATTTACCCATTTAAGTTTATGCATAATTTAGAAGTATTGAGCAGCTTCACTGACAGAAATATGTTCTCTGATCTCACTGGTGATTTACAGACCCACTTCTGGTCTACAATGCCCACAAAATTACATTTGGGACCCAATATTCATCATTTGGGCTGTGCCGCTGGCCTGCCTGTCCAACTTCAGATGTGCTAATTACAGTCATTCACTCATACTGTGTCTCTAATTTTATCAAGTTGTTTTCTCCAAGGCGTAATATAAGCAGAGTTTGGATATTTAGGGTAACCAGCTGAACATTTTTTCTGCTGGATGGCTGCTTGCTTTGGGCAGGCTGTTCCAGGTCTTAACTAAAGCCCTTCAATTTTGACCCTTCACAGCTGATCTTGCCCTGGCCTGAAGTTCACCCCAAGTACAGCTGCCCCACACTACAGATACAATATCTGCAGTTCAGCCACCACTTGATGTGCTTTCCTTTAGAGCCAGATACTTTAAGCTGACCCAGGGGACCAAAGTTCAGTTATTTTAAACACTTCCTCTGAGAGCATCTCAGGCATGGCTGCAAGATTTCCACCTGCCTTTCCCATCAGGCATGACCAGTATTATGACCCCTAGCATTAAGCAAAATGGGAAAACCATACAGATATTCCTACAGATGAGGAAAGGTCCCAGCTGCACTACAACTTTAAACTGTGTTTTCCTCGGCAGCAGCACACACACATCTGGATAAAATGGAACACAGCATGATGAACTCCATTAAGGAAACATGTTTCATCCCTCAAAGGCATGGCAGCTTGCCTTCTGCCAACAGCCAAAACAGCTTTGCATCACAGGTAGGAAACCACACAACTTTCCTTCTGTATCCCACTTCTCCAAATTTCCCAGATCACTGTGCCCAGCACAATCCTTTCCTATGATAAAATACAACACAATTTTTGGAGCAGCTCCAAATTATTGGGATGAAACACATGCAAAGGGGCTGATGCATAGCCACAACCTTAAGCTGCAGCAATGACACAGCTCTGACTTCTTTGCTGAAGTTTGGGCAAAATGCTTCGATGAGCAGGATGAGAATGGTCACGGCAGGTTTGATCCAGTTCACTTCCAAATGATTCAATATGAATCATACTTTCTTCAGACCAGCAGTTTGAATTTTGTGAACATGATATTTTTGCTGAGTGCAGTAAAAAAAAAAACCCACACCACACACATAAATTTATTATCTCTAATCTTTACCACACTCACTAGTTTTGCTTTTCCACTCCATCCAGCCAAATGGAGAACCACCTCTCTTCAATACATGAAGCATTATGCAGTATCTTCCAAGAAACTGAGATTTTACAGGTTTCTGCTGCTTTAACTTATATATTTCAATTTCACTAGACCAAAAGATAACTAAATCAGCCAAGCAAACCTACTGCAGAGGTCACAGACGAACACAGTTCTGTCAATTACTTATGGCAAAGTGAAAACTTACTGCCATGTAATTGGCAAGTAAGTTGGTTTATTACTTTACTCTAAATTCCCAGAGCTGCCTCAAGTCTTATCTCAAAAAACAAAGTTAAGCAACAAGCAACCAGCTATGAAATCAAAACTGTCTCCAATGAAGACAATGATTCTTGTTAAATCAGAATTTTAGTTGAGACTGGAAACTGAAATTTGAGACTTCTTTCAGGGAGAAGAATTCCACCTGAATAATTTCCAACTGTTTCTTTCCTTTTAATCCAAAATAACCTACAAAAGCCAGTCAGTTTGATTGAAACTATGAATACTTCTTGTATTTTCTAATTAAAGCAACATTTCAACAAAAAAATTACCTCTTCTTGTGCAGCTATAAGAGGACAAAAACTTACTCCAGCACAGCAGCAGCAATGCTTATAATGGCATTGTACCAGAAGAGAGCCAAGCTCACAAAATTCCCAAGAAAGAAGAGGCTGTTCCAGTAGCAGTCTGTGGCTGGGATTGTGTATATTACCCACAAGCAGTATATTCTATTTTCAGCACATATTTAGGATTGCAAATCTCAGTCTTTTTAACGCAGAACAGATCAACTTAGCATCTTCTCCTACTGAACTACACCCCACCTTGACACCAGGAGAGAGGAAAATGTGATATAAAACACATCCCAGACAAACACCAGCACAGAAACCCATGAATTTCAGTGATCTGTCAAATCACAGGCCATTATTTAACTGGGTTTTGCCTACAGAAGAAGTTTTTCCATTATTTTTATTTCCTTTTTTTTAATGAAATTACTCAAATTGAAATTTCATTATGTCGATCTTGCAGTTAACCTAAAATAAAAAAAAAATCAGAGCTGGAAGGACTTTTTATTAAATTGCTCAACTCTGCCTACACAGTGCTTTTGGTAATTTGTAGCTCTGCAAGAAACAAAACCAGTGGAAGTTTTCCAGCTTTCCATCAACTACACTTTGCAGCTGAATGCTGACATTTAGAAAGAGATTCCCTATATTAGAACTTTCAACACCCCAAAATTTACCTAAATTTGGCCTAGTCATTGAATATAGACATAGCACATAGAATACAAATATTTGAATTCTGCATTTTAATAAAGTTCCCACCTTTACTTTCCTCTCTTTATGCCCACAGCAAGTTATGGGATGAGACTCTGTGCTCAGCTACTCTATTCCAATAACATTTTACAACAAAGTGAGAAAAAGATAAAATACCTGTGGATTTGCCCGTTTTTATGCAGGTAGTCCAGTCCCTCCAGCACCTCCTTAAGGATTGTGGCTATACAAGCTTCATCCAGGACACCAGTCTTGTGTTCTCCTTTGGCCACAATGTGCTTGATAATATCCAAAACAGAGCCTAGAGAAGAGTTAAACATCTTAGTTTAAACTAGAAGAACTGAGTCACAGTTAAGTGTAATTTACCATCATTTAATATATAAGAAATTCACTGATGATGGTCAGGATCAGAGTCAGAAGATGAAGCTTTTGCTGCAGGAAAGCAGAGGCAGCAATGCACCCCTGGGAGCAGAGCCTCAAGGGGGGCTGTAAAACCCCTGTGAACACAAGCAACTGAGAAGTAATTTGAACAAGCCAAAATGTAAAATGTACACACACGACACTTGGAAGGTTTTTAAGTGGATACTGATGCTACAGCTGGCTTAGTGCTGAGTACTGGAGAAGCTGAAGGGGGAAATGGAAAAAGCAGGGGGCTGCCAGGACTCAAGCTGAAGGCAACAAGCTTGATAAAATTAGGCACTCTTTTTCAGCCCTTACAAATTCTGTGCAGAGGAACATCAGGAAAAATCTAATCTGTTAAGGGCTGGTACAACCCTAACAGGAAAAAAAAAAGTGGAAATCATTAAATAGCGAACAAATGAGGCTGAATGCTGACAATAAGTCCCTTCATCACTGTGTACAGAACTGGAATAGCTTAGATCCTTCCCTAGGAGCATGTTTAGTCTCTCTCCCAAGCATGGTGTGAATTACATCATCTTTCATGACAAACCAGGCTTTAGAGAGCAAACCACTTCTTCAAACTGCACCCAGGAATAAACGGAACCAGTGACTCGCACCAAGGCTCTTGTGCAAGGCCCTGCTTTTCATAGACACTGGGCACTGCCCTCTTTGTATTTGCATCTGGACTGAAGATACTTCTCAGAATTTTTTATTGCTCCAGCATGAGATGGCCAAACCTCATTTCCAAAGCCTGTGCCATTTAGCCCCTTCAGACTTGGGTTGCTATAGTTTAATGGCTGGATAGGGACTAGTAGGGTTTTTACAGCTATGGGCACAAAGCAATGTCAGTAGTACTGGGAAGTCCTTAAAGAATGAGAAAGCAGGCACAACTGGAGAGCACAAATTGCAGCTTTGTTTGTCTTTGAACAGTAAACTAAACAGGGAAAGAACACCCCAGTACTAACTCAGCCAGTTTAGAAAAGTTTGGCTCAGTTTTAGAAAAGTTTAGAGAAGTTAATTCTTCTTAACTCACAATCAAAAAAGTAAGAGAAAATTATTTTTGGATCTGAAGAACAGCAACTCTCATGAATTTGGCCCATGGGAGAATTAGAAGTTTCACCTTGCAAATTCCTGAAGCAAGTGAAAAATACAAAAGAGGTTTTTAGTTTGATTTTCTTCTCACCCTTCAGGTTCAGGTAGACAAAAAAATCCTTCCTGTTTAACATTTATTTTATTAACTATCCCACTGAATTTCTAGTCTAAAACAATTGTGCAGATCAGTTTTCCACTCAGAAGAGTATTTTCCTTTTGGACACTCCTACAAAAGCAGAAGCTGCAAGGTTTGAATACAAACACCATGTGGAAAGGCTCATTTTGCACAATTCAAACTGCACAGGAAACAATTAGAAGGGTGCACAGTGTCCCTTAGCTGGTGTAAAGCAGTGTATGCTGAGCTCATCTAAAAGCTTGCTGCAGACAACACAGCTACTATTTCTCACTTTCCATCTTCTCTGGCCCACTGGCACTACAGCTTCACCTGGACACCAAGACATCCAGTAAACCCAGTGAAAATAAATTGGTTAGCCTGAACAGCACCTTCAGCTTCCTCTTACCAAAAAATCTTTGCTTAATTCAAGGTATTTGCAGAGAACACAATCTTAACACAGAAGACTCTAACAAAAATAGCAAAACACCCCAGAGGAAAATTTTAAAAAATACAGAAATGAAGTTATGTAACATCGCCCCAACATTTTATGCAAGAATATTCAGTGTTCAGCCTTCTTTTACCCCACCCAAGCAGAGAAACACACTCATGTTTAGTGAATTTTGATATGGGTCTTACCCAAAGGTTCCACCCAGACGAAACTCAGGTTGTTTGGGCATATGTTGGACTTCCTGCATCTGAGCAAGAATATCTTTACTGAAGAAAGCTAAGATTTCAGATGTTGGAGATGAACCCCTTCACTGAAATCTCACCTTTAAGTTCTGAGAAAAGCATCTTCTGCTGTGTGTCATAAGGACTCACCTGGTCTCCAGCCTGTCATGTTTTCACATTAAAGAGTACATACTAACTTTGAGGCTTCCTATTCGGGACAAGAATTTCTGTGACATCAAAAAAATCCCACCAAAGAAGCCCCTCCACATCCACTGTTCAGGTTTTTCCTCTGAAATGTGCCCCAATCTGCAGAACAAACTGTCACTTGTTTTAGAAGTCCAGTGAAAATATGTGGTTCTTCACGTACTCGTTTTGTCCTCTTTCCACCCACGACTCCGTTAGCAGACTTAGTTCACAAACATTTCCCTTCTCCTGCAAAGGGCTCAGGGAACATGAGGAGGCAGATCATATGGTGCTCAAATTCATTTGGTCAAAAAGTCCTCTATTTAGCCAAGTTAGAGGTTGTATTTAACCCTGAAAGGGGGGGTGGAGGGTAGAAGACAAGAGGGCATGCACAGAGCCAGCCCTGGTTGTGAAAAGGCTGATTCACACCCAGGCTATATCTGCTCCCAGTCCTGCCTGATACTTTTAAGCACATTTATTTTAAAACCACTGTCACATTGAGATGTTCATAGAAGTGGGGGAATTTGCCAGTCCTCTGCAGAAAGAAGAACAGCAAAAAGGGATCAGCTAAATGCCCACTGCAGGAAACAGCAGAGAAGCAATCCAAGAGCCACCCTTCTGCTGCAAAAAGTGCTCTTGGGACCATCCCTCTTTGTCTGCTCAGGGTTTGGCCACTGGCACCACAGCACCATGAAACTGATTTTTCCAACTCACAAATCAGTAACTTTGGGAGTTGGTTCTGACTCACAACTCAACTGCAACTTCATTAAGCACAGCACCAGGGAATACACAGAACAAAGCCAAGCTGCATTTCCCAGCACTGCTCCATGCAGTGCTCCAGCATTCTGGCTCAGGAAGCCTGGCATGGAGCAACAGAATAACCAAATCCCCAAACAGAAACCCACAGCCAAGGTAGGAGCTGCTTTGAAAGGAGAAGTCATAGGAATTTGGCTGTCAAGGAAAACACCTCCTGCTAGAAGGCCAGGACTGGATTGCAGCATGAGGCTGATAATTCCTTGCAAAGCTGATGCCAGAGGTCTCAGTGAGTGTGTGACACACTCACCAGGGTAAGACCTCCTCTGCCTCAGGATACAAACTCCCACACCAACTCCATTATACTGGAGCAAGAGATGAGGGAATCAGAATCTAAAGGGGGAAATGACTGTTTCGCACAGCGGCCTGTTCCCAATCCAGCAATACAATAACTGCTAAAATTAACTGGAAACTAATCCAGCTGAACTGGAACCAGGGCCTAAACCACACCAGAGGATGTGCTTAACAAACTGACCACACTGCTGGGAAACACCAGCATGACTGCTGAGACTGCCAGCTTCTGAGCCAGCTTCAAACCAGTCAGGTTCCAGTGGGGAAGAGAGCACATCCAAACACAGCTGGATTTCTGCTTAAATGCAGTTTCACTACGGGTCTGTGCTCCATGTGCAAACTGCTCTATCTCACTTTAAGACAGAACATAGTGGCCAGAGGATGAGGTTCACACTGGAAATAAGGTACCTTGCTCTGTATTAACAGTTACAAGATTTTCAAGGAGAAAACAAATCCACTACAACATCTCTAGAAAAGAAAAAAATATCTTTGATTCCTCCCTAAAATAAAACCTTTATTTTAAATAATGCCATGAAGCACTCTGGTGTATATTATACATGGCATTAGGTCTGATTATAACAATTCCACCATGATTTTTCCCATTAAAAACTTTCAAGTAGCAAGTACAGATCCAAACTAGAGGAAGGTGAATCCTAAGTCAGAGAAAGGCAAAAAAAAAAAGAAATTAAGTTTGGCTGAGGCTGACTGGAAAGCTCTTCCAAGCCCAGAAGGGCCACATACCAAGAAAAGACAAAACAAGACACAGGGAAAAGGGTCAGAACTGGAGTCTAACCATAAATATAAATAATGCTGTCATTAACAAGGATGTTTAAAGAAAGCTGGTGATGAGCAACTGATCTCAAAGCCCAACAGAAGACAAAGGAAAGAAGACAACATTTAGTGATTGATATGGAAAAAATGCAGCTAAAACAAATTCCTGCCCATCAAATATACACTGTGCAGCACATCAACAGGAAGCCTAGAGAGATACTGTGCAATCTGATAAAGCATTTAGCATGACTTGTCATTCATCATCCATGTGTCTCAGTGTACTCTGACACCAATGGTCATGGAAATGAACCTGCTTAGTAAAGAGCAAGCTCTCAGTGCAAACTGTACAGCAGTTGGCAGGGAAGTGGTTTTCTGCTCAAACTCACAAGCTTCCCAGTTTGCTCCAAAAGCTGCTAATGCAGTAGCTCCTAAGGACAGCACGAGTCAGAAGGAATCTGTACACACACTTACCCTGAGCTGAGGGTAATTGTAACCTGTAACTACCTGTAAGAGAAGGATATTCAGGCTTTGGATATTGGCACCAGGCAGACCACTTGCAATGGACAGTCTTGGATCCCAGCAAAAGCAGTCCTGACTTGCACCCCACACGTATCCAGTAAAACTGACTCTTTCAACAACATGAATTATGTGAATAACCAAAGATACCAGGTTACCTATGGTGACAAAATGAGATTAAAGTTCCATGGTTCACCACCTCACTGTGTACTCCTGTATCACTTACGAAGACACTATAAAATGGGATCACTGCAGTAACTGGAAATCCAGTTTTCCAGGCAGTTGTGTGCTCCTGTATCACTTACGAAGACATACTATAAAATGGGATCACTGCAGTAACTGGAAATCCAGTTTTCCAGGCAGGGTGGAGACCAAAGAGCCAGGAACTCCTTAAACCTTTCTCCTTAAAGCTTTGCTGCTGAAGAAAACTTCTGTGTAATTGCACCCTCGGG